TTTACTGGAATGACGGGCGGGTGGCGCACAATTTTGGTGGCCTTTGCACGGAGAAGACTAGCTGCGCGTTCACCGCCAACGCGGTGGTCAAAGTCAACTTAGATTGTGAGGAGAACATCGTGCGATGGTCACTGGGGGGTGAGCAAAGTGTGGCCGTGGTGCGTCTTCCACCAGAGGCGAGTTTTGCCTTTGCCGCGGTGCTGGTGAGGTCTTCAGAGGTGCAGATATTACACAGCGCGTGAATTGAACTTTTGTGGTGTTTTTCCGTTCATTTCCAGGCGCCGCCACCGCTGCGTCTCCTACCTACCTACCGTTGTGTTGTGTTGTGTTGTGTTGTGTTGTGTGGGGGCCTGTGGGATGCGTACCCCCGGCTGCCCCTGCGGCTGACTGAGCTACCCAGCTGCATTGCTCTTTGTTCGTTTGGGCGTTTCTTGCCTGGAGCCCCGGAGAAGTGGCAGTTGTGCCATTAGGTTTCTAGCAACTGACAGTAGTGTAGGTGAAGGCGTTGTTCGCGTGTGGGGACGAAAGAACAGATGCGGCGGGTGCTGTTGGACGCACGACGCGCTTCCATCCCACTGTGGTGTGGCTACCGCCGCTCCTCCAACAAAAGCGAGGGCGGGGCGTCGTGCGATGATCGTCACCCGTCTGTGCCTGAGGCCGCGAAACCGTCAGAGGCTGGGGCTAAGGAAGAGTACACCATCCCTACCGCCGACATTTTGCGGGCAGTGAGACAGCGGGACTTCAACGCCTTTCAGTCCCACGCTGTGGGCGTTGTGCAGCAGAAGTGGAAGGAGGAGCACAACATCCCGGCAGCTTGCGTGATTTTCTTTTTCCTCACGTGGTATTGGATGTCGAGCTCGCGCCGCCGCGTCGTGCGTTCCTGCAGGGCGACTGAGGCGAAGGTGAGGGAGGAAGCGGATCAGACGCTGGAAGTGGTGAACACACTTGTGCGGAAGTGGAGGAAAGATGTTCAGAAGGCGGACCAGCAGCTACAGTTGATTCTCGACAAGAATAGCGAGCTCACCAAAGACATTGACCGCATGACGGCTGCGCTGCGGCAGTGCTACGTGAAGGTGCCGGTCAATAAAGCTGGGCTGGCGAAGGCGGGTGCATCGGAGTAGCGCGTGTCTTGTGCGCTGTGTGCGCCAATTTAGAGGAGTTTGATTTTTTGTTTTTGTTTTTGGGATCAGTATTTTTGCCCCACGTGTCTTTGCCACTGCCACTGCTCCACACCCTCACGGCGGACGGTTTTTTTTTTTTCTGCCCTCTCGACGGCGCGTGAAACCGCCTCGCAGGGATGTTCATCTCGCAGGTATTTATTTTGTCGCCTCGCGGGGACAAACTTGTTTTTAAAGACTACCGGCAGGACGCCCCTCGCAATGCCGACGAACTCTTTTTTCGCAAGTACATGTTCTGGGACGGGGCGCAGCGACATGCGCCAGAGGGAGACTGCCCGCCGTTCTTCATTGAAAAGCACGTGAACTTTTGCTACGTCAAGCGACGCGAGCTCCTCTTTGTGTGCACGTCTATGGTGAATGTCTCGCCCAGCCTCACCTTGGAGATTCTGCTTCGAATCATCAAGGTGATTAAGGACTACTTGGGCGTTCTCTCGGAGGAGAGCATCCGCATGAACTTTACCCTGGTGTACGAGCTGCTGGACGAGATGCTTGACGTTGGGGTGCCGCAGGAGCTCAACGCCGAGCGTCTTCGGCCGTACATCTTCAACGAGGTGGCTCTCGTGGCGAATCCAGATGCTCCCACAAGGAACTCGTTCCTGGAGCGTCTGCGGCGCGGCGAGTTTTTGGAGCGGACGCGCCGGGGTGATGCCGCTCTCAATTCCATACTGAAGGCCTCGAGTGATCGGAAGAACGAGATATTTATCGACATTTTGGAGCGGCTCAATGTGGTGTTTGACAGCGCGGGGCAGGTGGTGTTGTCGGTTGTGGACGGGGCCATCGTCATGAAGAGTTTTCTCGCCGGCACTCCCTCGCTGCATTTGCACCTCAACGAGGACTTAGTGGTGGGGCGGGGCGACGCCGGCAGGGAGCGGTACGCATCCGTAGTGCTTGACAGTGTGAGTTTCCACGAGGATGCCGACTACTCTGGCTTTGAGCGTGAGCGACAACTGTCGATTCGGCCGCCGGAAGGAGAGTTCACGCTGATGAACTACGGGCTGAGTGGAAAGGGCACGCCGCCGTTTCGGCTTGTACACGCCATAGAGCTTCTATCTAGCCACCGCGCGGAGATGACACTGCAGATACGGGCAGACCTCCCTGTCTCAACGCACGGCATTGCTGTCCGTGTCAGTGTGCCCATGCCCTTGACCTGCACCGCCGCTAGCGTAGAGTTGTGTTCCGGAGCCACAGAACAGACGTACGACTACAAGGAGGAAGCGAAGTGTGTTGCCTGGAGCATCGCAAAGTTCCCTGGCGGAACGGAGCAGGTGTGCAAGATTCGCTTCTCAACCTCCTCACCCATCACCGCCGCAACAAGGCGTGGCATTGGCCCGATATCAATGCAGTTCGAGATTCCACATTATAGTGCCTCAGGACTCTGCATCAGAGTACTTCGTCTCGAGGAGCGCAGCAGCTCCTACAACCCAGCGCGCTGGATTCGTAACGCGACCCTTGCAAACTCGTATGTGTTTCGTATACATTGACTTGAACTGAGTTTTTATGTGTTGTTCTTGTCGTTGTGTCGATCTCTGTCTGTGGGTGTGTGCCGCAGCTCCGCACTGGCTGCTTCTCTCACCTTTTGTTTACGACGTGTACTCTCTCCGTACCGTACCCGCCACCTCCGTCATTTTTTTTTGTGTGTATGTGTGTGTGTGTGTTTTATCTTTCGTCCTTTTCTCCATCGTCGCTTTGATGTTGTCAATCGCGCCGCATCTGAGGGCAGCACGGGGCAGTAGGCGGAAAAACAAATTTCAACACTAATTGCGATGGCGGTGGCGCCGGCGCACTGCTTTGAACCACCGCCTCGGCTGCACATCGGCGTTGACTATCGATGGGATCCTCTGTTCTTTCGAATACCATCCCCTCGGGGGCCGACAGCCCATGCGTCATGCGCGGCGCCGAGCGAAGGTACAGACGGCGTGCCGCACGTGGTTGATCGGCGGAGCCTTCGTGAGAGTAGCTACTCACCCGACATAGTGGCGCGGCATCCCGGCAGGGCGTTGCGCAATCAGGCCACGAGTGGCCCTCAGCTGCAGCGGCGACAGGGGTCGGGTGGTGAACACCGCCGTGACTCGCCAAGGGCGTTGCGCGGGGAGGATGCGAGGCGGGATTGCCTGAGCTGCGGGCCGATGCATAGCGAGGGGGCGGTTTCCTCTCAAACGGCAGTCACACCGCAGCCGAGCCCCGCGCCAGCCCCGCGCTCCCCGCCCACGTGCAAGAGGAAGGAGGGAGCAAACCCCGCGGCGTTCAGAAGGTCCAAGGCCAATGCAGCCAGCGCCGGAAGGGTGGTGCTCTCACATCCCCACGACCACAGTTTGGTACGCTCTCCACGCCTCACACGTTCTGCCATCCTGCGACGTGAGTTTAACACCTCTGATGCACCCAGCAAGCAGGTCCTGGGATCTTCTCTAGATTTCGCGAACCGGGTGGGTGCAACTTTCCCACGCACACCAGCTGAGGTCGGTGGCGTAAGAATGGCACCGACGCACGGCGAAGGCGCTGCTCAGCCATCCACTTTGCTGGCGGGCGGTGCTGCGATGCGGCATTGCCAAGACCACGCATGGGTGTCCACACTCTGTGCTGCATCCTTGACGCCCCGTGGAACGCGGGCTGCAGCGCTTCGTCTGGAACACGTGAGGCGCAAACTTAATGTTGATCTTGTGCCACGTGGCTCTGTTGCTCGCCCACATCACTTTGAGCGCACAGCTGTGGCGGCGGGAGCGGGGCTGGTTGTTGTGGATGGGAATTGCTACAGCGATGTAGAGGGCATGAGGTGGCGAAGTGAGATTCCACCCATTCCAAAGCTTTGGGAGCTCTGTGCGCCGCGCATGGCGAATCAAAGCACGCGGACCAAAGGAGGGAATGCGGTGTGGGTCTCAAGTCACGGGCTCGACGCTGCTACGACGAGAAGCTGGGAAGCCAAGGCACGGGGGCGCCTGCTAAGGAGTGAAACAGCCACCAAAGAAAGCGGTGTTTGTCGTGATGGCGTTGATCAGCTCAGCATACTGTGTGACGAGGAGGGAATCATTTTTACCTCAACTGAAATGAACGGTGGTGGTGGTGGCGCCGTGATGCCTGCCGATAAGTTTGAAGAAGGACCGGAGGGGAACGCGGTGGCCGAGGATCCCGACGCTTGCCGCTTAAGGATCAGTGCGGGCAAGCCAGAATGGGTGAAACCGCCTGTTCAGAGTAATTTGTGCGCAGTGGAGGAGGCGGGTGAGCCGTGTTGTGAGGGGGTCAAGATGACGCCTATGCAAAGCGTCAAGGACAACAGGGAACGCACCCTTTCACCCTTTGATGTGGTGGAGTCGTTGCATGAATGGTCCTCAGACCCATTTTCCGAAGATGCAACTGAAACTCCACAAAGCTTGGCCGTAGCGGAAGTGGAAGTGGAAGAGGTGGTTAACCCGCCTTCCTATTGGCGTGCTGAGACGTTGCCAATGGTCGAGGCAAACGCCGTCTGTGCAGCTCCCTCAGCGGTAATTGTTGAAGAGTACCTCTCGCCGTCTATTACACCGGGACAGAGAGAGGCAAGTGATACTGTTGCTGCTCTCTCACGAACTTCTGCCCTGACAGATGATCTCCCGCTGTCATCATGCACAAAACGTCATCTGACGGAGCGAATGGCATTGATGCCGCGCTACCTTCCGCTGGAGTACGCGGCGGTGCCGAAGCGAACGAAGATGCGGCTGACACCAAGTACCACGCTGCGAAACTACAAAGCCCTTCAGCGAAGGGTTCGCATGAACGTCATGAGGACGTTCTTCTACAAGTGGACCACCTGGATCAGGCTTCGTACAAGGATGGGGTGGGCGTCGGTGGGTCAAGCGCATCCTTGCACGCGCAGCAGTGGGCACATGCCCCTGGTGCCCTCTGCTATCTTGATGGGGCCGGCCTTTACACTCTGCGGCGAGACGGTGGCGGCAGAAGATGTGCATGCCACGCAGCAAAACGGACCAGATGTGGTGCGGGAAACGGTGTCAAAGGAGCTGTGCGCCACCCCAACCCATCCTCATGTGTCGCTGAAGAAGAAGAGCCCCCCACCGCTCTCAGTGAAACTGCTGGAGCGGGTGGTCGGCAGTAACGAGCAAACCCGGACGACGTTGCAGGACATGGAGTCCACGTGCGACTCTAATGACAGTAGGTTTGCCTCCTCATCTTTGGCCTCAAGGGAGGAGGACTGTGTTTCTCCCCAGTCGCGCAGTGCTCACGCAGAATATGAAAGGGACTGGACTTCCTCAGAGGGGACTTTGTTAGACTCCCTGTGTTCACTCACCCCCATTAACTGCGATGCGCAGGAGATGAAGCTCTTGCCAAGCCACAGGTCGAGTGCATCACTGAAGTCAAGAAGTACTTTATCGGCGAGTGATTCGCAAGGGAGCCTGGACGTGGAGGATGTCATACCTGCCCCCAAAAGAAGTTTCCAGTCCACCGCATAGAATCAAGGACCTCCATTTTGAACTGTGGATTTCCAGAAGAAGACCCTCGCAGAAGGGCACGAATAACAACGATGAAGTGACAAACTGGACAAGAAGAGGGACTGATTGAGGGGGACCGACGAAGTCTTTTATAACGTCTTCTTTAGACGCCTCCTTGGGCGTGTTTTTCATCTTCTGCAGACTGAAAGAACAGACAGCACAAACAAAAAAAAAACTATTGTGCTCTCACTGAGGCCCCTTGGGGTTCTTTTTTTTCTTTACTTTGTAAATGCGTAGAAGAGTGGGAACCCAAAAGAGTGATGAGATGGACGCCTCTCGAGCGCTGAAACCCTGCGCCTGCAACGAAGGCAGCCCAGCAGGGGAGGACATGAGCTGCAAAGTGGCGACAGTAGAAAAACGCATGGTGCCCCCTGATGATGTTCGGGATGTTTTGCGTAACCCCTACAACGAAGCGCCTTCCAAACAACAGTCACCCTCCCAGGCAGCGTATTCCACCCATTCAGAGGAAGCCTCAGGCATTGATGAGGTACCTGCAGCCGACGAGATGTCAGCGGGTTCTTTTGTCGCCTCCGTAAATAGCAATGGGCCTGATAGCAACCTCTCCGGTGGCAGTTTTGTGCCGCCGCACGCTGCTGACAGTCAGTGTAGCCTCGCGTGTTTGTCCTTGGACTCCATCGAAGAAATTGCTAGTAACCTGTCCGTGGAGGAGAAGCAGCCGCTAAACACTGCGGTTGCCCAAGCAAGGTCACGCACTCTCCACCTCACCTCGGAAGAGATGCTACGCGCGTACCAGTACCTGAAGCGCATCGTCCAGCAACGGATTTACAGGCAATATTACGTCAAGTGGGTGCACCTCCTCACACAGAGGCCGCCAAGGGCGGTGGCCACGCAGACAGCAAAAAATGACTACTTCTGCGCGCCAGTTGTGGGAGGTGCTGTGTACCACAGTGAAGCAGAGGGAGCTGCAGCAGACGTTGCTTTGCCCTCTCTGCCCCATTCTGCCTCGGAATGCGGAAGCAAACACACCGCTCGTGACGATGCCCGTAGTGAGTGCACGCAAGGCGGTCTACGTGAAGGACAACAAGGCTTGTCGGCTTCCACACCGTCTGCATCCGTTACATGTCTTTTTGATCCGGTACCTTTGCCAATAAAGCCGCCATCGCCGCTGCTGCTTCGGTCACGAGGCGCACCCACCCTCCTACACGATTATGGGCGACAGTCATCGACGCCAAGACGAATATCTCCGCGGTTCTCCAGTCTCCCCAGCGTGACGCTCCCGTCTTTAACCAGCCCCAGCCGACAGTTCACCGTTTGCCAAACAACAACACACGGATAACCTGCAAGCGCCGCACAGAGCACAGCGTCTGTTACGATACTCCATAGTCAGTGCCTCTCGTCCGCACAAGCGCCCCACAAAAGGAAAAAAAAAGCAAGCACGAAAAATAATCTCTGTTTTGTGTATTGTACTCGTTTTTGAAATCAAAACGGACTCCGCAAACAATGTTTTGTACTTGATTCAACACAAAATAATCACTTGAACTGCAAACAACACCACACTGTTTTCCTTTTTCCCTCTCTTCCTTTTCTTTTCTGCTTGCGGGCCATTTGCAGCTGCCAGCGGCGCGATGGTGTTAAGCATAAAGAGCGTTCTCTACGGTGCGCACGTTGCTCCCCCGCATGAGGGAGCGAGCAGCGTCGACGTTGATGCGCGGAAGGGCGACGTTGTTCTTCGCGATGGACTTACGGGTGCGTCGCGGTTTCGCTTCGACAGTGTGACGTACCATCCCTTCCATGCCACGTTGTACGAGTCCGTGTTGGCACGACGGGTGGCGGAAAACTTTGGCGGAGGATGCCCCTATGCCTGCGACGCCCCTCCGTATTCGATGCACGCTGCCATCATCCACGGGTCACCTCGCCGGCACTCGGAGGAGTTGTTCCACGCCGTGGTGCTTTTGACAGTTGGCCACGCCCTCGACGTGCTTGCGGAGACGAGTGTGGGCCACGTGCAGCTCCATTACAGCATGGCGCGTGTGTACTCGTGGG